ATAAAATAACAATGTTTGTATAGGAAATTAAGAATTCAGGAGCTTAAGGTTGAACTTTGTATAATCTAATGTCTTGAATTGACAAAGAAATTGTATTTATCTTAAAACAATTACAATTTCACTGCATAAAGATTAAAACAATTACAATTTCACTGCATAAAGATAAACAACATAAAGACAAAAACAATACAGTGTTTGCTTATTTAATTACCCAATCACGCAAAGAGAACATATGTACATGTTAGTTGCTAATTCATTTTCGTGTAGGAGTGTTCGGCACAAATATATCCTATTTTCAGGCAGTTTTGACCGCAAAGGTGATTATTTTGTTTCCATTCCTGATGCTTAAAAAGTACTATGACCTGTGAATCAATATATAGCGTAAACAACATTCATACAAGACTTAATCATAGTTTAAGGATGGTAACAATAACAATTTTGTCATTGCCATTGATTGCTGAACACTGCATTACTTAAATATGTATCAGATACCATCCCTCTCTCTATCTAGGCAAAAAATAGCATAAAGGTTCAGCATCCGATAAAAAATTACAGGTACCTATTTTGATATTGTGTCTTTCTGTCGCAGAAAATAACCAAAACAATTCGTTGCAGACGACAACAGCCAATTCCGAAAAAAAGACAGGAAAATGAATCTGAAAAGTCTACTTTAAAACTCACTGAATTTTGATTTTCAAAAAAAAAAATGAAACGAAGTTTCCATAGCATCTTCCAGTTAAACTAGTTGTGTAGCTTATTAAGTCTCTCTTTTATTTATTTATTTATTATTTTTTTATTTTGTTAAAGGTTCAGTCCTTGAAGGTCATCCAACATGGCCAAAAATTGGCTTTCGAGGGATTTTTCCATAGAAAGGTTCTAATGAAACTGTTCCTTATATATATACAATCTAAAAATTTATGAATATTTTCACATTAAACATCTAAATGTATGCTCACAAAGGATTGACCTTTTACTCATTGTTTATGAACTTTTGTTCTGTGCCGACCTTCCTCCTCTGCATTTCAGCTAAGGAAAATACGACACGTTTGCAAGACACCCCAAGACTAACCCAAGACACCCAAAGACTACCCCAAGGCACCCCAAGACTACCCCAAGACACCTCAAGACTACCCCAAGACTACCCCCAGGGGTCGGTCTATTTACCCCAAGACACCTTAAGATACCCCAAGAAACACTAAGACACACTCTGGGACAGAAAGATACACATTTTTAGTCCCTGGACTATCCCAAGGCACCCAAAGAAACTTTTATATTGTGTAAATTGGGAAAGTAGTATTATATACGACAAATGATTATTTACGTGTCATCTTTTTAATTACAGTCAAATATATATCAAATATTGTTAATATGTATGGACTTAAAAACTTTCATCACTAAAATAATTATTGATATGCTCTTTAATATAAAAAAATATTTTGATTAAAATTAACTTTACTATAACAACAAGACTATGCATGTTAATCTGTTAATCTAATGAAAAGCATCTTTTCGCGTCGCATTACTTCTTGTCGCTAATAAATTTCTTCTTGCCGCTTTTAAGTTCCACCCCAAAAGGGAAGTAATCGAAGTGAATTTATTAATTTTCTGAAACAAAACGAGTACAGTATAGTGGTAAGTTTCTAGTTATCATACTAAATAAATAATGTATCAACGTATTTGCAATTGAATTATACGTTTACTGTTATCGAATTGTATCAAATGTTTCAAAACCGGTTTGAATGGAGGCATAAATTCCTTTAAAACTAGATTTTTAATTTTTTTTCAGTAACAGATTTTGGACAATAAATATTTAGGATAAAAAACGAAATTCCTTCAAAGCATGATAATATAAGTTAATACAACTATGTGAACATGATACACCGATGTTCAAGAAATTGGACATCTACAAATTTTGGCTAGACTTTAGAACCTGCCCACAGCTACTTTTAACATTATGATTTTACCCAATATTTTTTCTTCAACAGCTGTTCAAATATTTTATGTTTCTCTCTAAAAAATCACTCGTATTAGTGCTAGGGTTTGTGTTAGGGTTTATAGTTTGTGTAATAGCGTTATGGGTTAAATAAGAGAAGGATTTTAAGTGCTCACAAAATTTATCAGTCCTGCCATGTAGTATAAATATCCCTCGGGGTCACTTAGTTAAGTACAAATATCTTTACAAACCTCTTGTTAACTACAATGGACAAAGCTTAGATACATATATTTATCATAAAAAAGACCTTCAAGTCATCCTCAAAAGTTATATGAATCATGTTCCTAGAGTCAATATTGTCTGGGCCCCTGGGGTTACTTAGTTAACCTGACATTTTATTTAACAAAAACTTCTTGAAAACAACAATGCCTTTTATGTTTGGCTTGTAGCAACTAATTTTTTAAAAATAAAATGCCCAGAGCTTTGATATTTGGCATGTACTGATGTAGTAATTCCAAATGGACATCTACAATTGTTTTTAAAATTATGCAGAACTTTGCCACTATGAAGAAAACACAGGTATAACTTATTTTAAAGTATCTGAAAAAGACCCATTAAATTTAAGTGATTTTCCCGGCAAAAATGTTATCACTTAACTTGTATTTTTTTTTTGAAGCCCAACAGGTAACTTCGTTTATTGTCCCCGTCATAGGTAAAATAGGGTCGGGGGTCCATCCGCTATTTCACCTTACAAGTTTTCTAACAAACAATATATACTATAAATGTATACAATATATATGACAAGGACAACATAATCATGTAAATTGTAAATAATAGTTATAATAATAATTCATGGGCTATAAAATTATGACATGCTACATAATATTGCAACAAGATTAATATATATAATAAATATAACCGAATACACATAAGTATTTGTTTTTTTACTTATATATGAGAAAAGATATAATTATATTAATATAAATTCACATTGAAAAAAAAAAAAAAAAAAAAAAAAAACATTGTTCGTATAGAGGCCTGTAAGTTGTACGTTTCTCATTTCGGTTGTCTGATTATATTTTAAAAATCTATTATTTCCTTATCGGTATTCTGATATAAAATATAAAGTTACTCATCATCAAAGGATAATTTTTTAATAATATTTTGCCACAAATTATGAAAAAAATTACATCTCCATTTACGATAGCTATATATTCTTGAATTTTTAATTTTATTTTTAAGTATATTAAAAACATATTTATATTTAAGTAATTTGACAGTTTTCTCTAAATTTTGTATTATAAACATAGTATTTTGCTTACAATATTACAAAATTCAAAATAGAATGTTTTCCATAATACGAGAACAATATGCCTTTAATGTCAGAAATATCAAATTCGACAAAACACTTATCTCTAAGCCAGTCTTTCATTTCTGAAAGAAAAATATTGGTAAACGGGCATTGGTAGAAAAAATGTTCAATCGTTTCTCTATCAATGTTACAATATGAGCATAAATCATTATCTCTAATATCTATTCGATGTAGAATAGCAGGACCAAGTTTTACCACTTTGGTTATATTCAAACGAGAGAGGGTGACAAAGATTCGCCATTTTCGTTCAATAGACGTTTGATCCAACTTAACTTTAAACTGTTCATAAAGGCTCTAACATTTAACATTTTAATACCACCTGCCTATATATTTTTATCTATCAATGATCTTTTAATTTTATCTGGACCTTTTTTCCATAAAAACCGATATAATAATCTTTCTATCTGTTTAATGAAATCTTCTGAAGGATTTGGCAATGACATAAACAAATGTACAAATTTTGAAATAATCAAAGATTTTATAATGGTGACCCTTCCAAAAAGAGTTAAATTACGCTTAGACCATATATTAATTAATTTTTCACATTTATTAAGAATTTCATGTCCGTTTAAGTCCCAAATGTCCTCAACGTCTGCGGAAAATATAACTCCTAATATTTTTATTGGAGACTTAGACCAGTCTAATTCAATCTGTTGACATAATTTAGTATTTGGATTTCTTCTCGACCCTATCCAAAATGCCCTTGTTTTTTCGGTATTTATCTTTAAACCAGCAATAGCATAAAATTTATCAAGCGTGTTTAGGCAATTTTCTAATGATTTCTCAGTTCCATCTAAAAACAGCTGTGAGTCATCTGCATACTGACTTAACTTATATTCTTTATTGTCAATCGATATTCCAGTAAAATTACTATTTTTCCTAATCATTTAACCAAAAACTTCCGCACATAAGATAAAGATATAAGGTGAAATTGCATCTCCCTGGCTACAACCACGCTTAACTTTAAAGAAATCTGATAAATGACCATTTTGTATGATACAGGTTTCTGACCCATTTTGGAATAGATTTATCCATTTTTTGAAAGAGGGACCAAAATTGAAATAATATGGTATATCGTTTTGTTTAGTTTCAAAAAGAATATCATATGTCAATCTGATATTTTCACTTATACACCTTCCTGAGATAAAACCTTTTTGATCTTTGCAAATAATGTTGTTTAAAAAAACTTGTATTTTTCGACAAGTTTTAGTGTAGCCTCATTTTCTGGCAATCATGAATGGCAAAATGATTTAAATTAATTTATGTCAACAATAAAGTTCTTCTGGTATTATTTTGCGTAATAATATATGTATACAGTGGTGGCCTTTGGTTACGACCGGTAGGGCATTTTCCCATTTATTGATGTATGTATATAATCTTTGAAGCAAGATTGCAAAAACTTTTTTTTTCACTTTTATACCAAAAATAAATCAAATTTTATTCTGGTTAAATATGTCCACTCTTGTGAAAAAAAACCATCATGAGGGTACCATTTCCGTCCATTTTCACATTTATTATTTTTGAAACAAAGTTGCAATCGTTTTTTCACTTTTATACCAAAAATAAATCAAATTTTATTTATAAATACTGCTTCCGCTTCTCGGTATACATGTATCATATCGTGGATTCACGGAAATTAAACTTGTATAAGCACTTAGATTCCGGATGCATGAGTTTTATTTATATCAATATCAACATATGTAAATATAATACAACGATAGTTTCAATATATAAGACACAGTTTTGGTAGTAATTATCAAGTTAAGAATGATATATAAATAGTGAATAGGAGTTTAAACAGTGATTTCGTCGAAATAGGGTTTCGTTTGAAATAAACTTTCGCCAGATGATTGCTAGTGTGTTAAGAGGAAGGATGTGAACCAGGACGTTATAATAAACACTTTTAATGGTGAAAAACTTTTTTCGACAGAAGAGCTAGAAAATGCCTATGCACTGTCTATAAACATTGTTAACTTTACAATTGTTCGGTGCTCAACATTGCGGATTTGTTGGTTTGTTCTGGCAGGAACTATAACAATTCAAACGAAACAGAAGTTTATATATTGACGGGAACTTCGGAAGACTTTTCTCTGTCAACTCAGGGCCACTTTGGTTAAATATGACAGATTACTTGTTTTCGGTCAAAAAGCTGGTCGATCGTTTAAATCTACAATTATCTGAAAATTCATTATCGTCCAAAAAGAAAACTAAGATTAAAATTCCTGTGTATGACGTTTCGGGCACGTGCATATCTGGAAATGAAGCAGACGTACGATACCGGAACAAGAACGGAGGCAATGAAATCAGTAGCAAACGCAAGAAACGCAGGCCTAAAACAGAAATATCAGATCCGAACACTCGTCGCCAGTCTTTATATCAGGTTATAAAACTGAATAAAGGTAAATTATCAGGAAAACATGACGGAGAGAGTTATTTGAAGTCACCGGCAACGACAGCGTCTAATTCTCCAGCGTCCTCGCCTTTAAACAACAAAAATAAAACACTGTTCGAGTTCAATATATATAATATCAGTAATGATAGTGATTCAGGTACGTGTGCTATTTATAGAGAACAGAAATATCCAAGGTGCGAGGACAAACACAGTGCATTGTTACTGAGCCCTGATATTTCATGTGTAACCAAACCAAACTCTCCAAACAGATTACATTTAGAGAATTGCAACTCTTCAAGCAGCGATAAATCTGTCATTCCTGAAGCTGAGCTTAGATCTCCTTCGCCGTACGACACAGTTTTTCAAGACTGGGAGAGTCCAAACTGCAGCCGAAAAAACCGTGTAACATCCCGCCAAAGATTGTCAGTATCTAAAAATGTGCCGCTTTCTCCGCCTATACCAAATGCAGAAAGATCCACTCAACAATTTTGTAACTTTCAGTTAAAGCTCGACACATTAAGAGCAGAGCTGGTAAGATTATAATGATATTTCTTGTTACATTCCCAACAATGTGTATGCCATTTTATTAACAATGTCAGCATTTGCATTTGTTCCAATAGAATTTATCATTGATATGGATCCAATATTATCAAATCAGCCTCGTTTTCATTCCAGGAGTTCAAAAAATTAATTTTAAATCTATACCATACCCTTTATAGCCACGTTTGCATTTCAATAGTCCAAAATATTTATATCAGACCCATATCGCACCCCATCTAGCCTCGTTTTAATTTTTTTAGAGTCCATAATCCATATCAAATTCATATTGTAGCTGAAATAAAACAGTTATTCAATTGGCCTCTTACACACCTGCAAAACCTACATCAGATTTGGCTATACCTTGTCCGATATAGTTTTGACAGCTGTATACTTATCCAACATAATTCAGTTTTGTACTCTACAATGTATAAGAACCTCATATAATCTTCTCATTTACTTTGCAAAGAGACTCTGGACTTTGTTAAACTAGTTTATGGTAATACCCGAAGCTTCCCACTGATTGTCTTTGTAATAATAAAGCCAAAATATGTATCCCCCCCACACACACCCTCCTCAATTTAACAGTCATTCTAAAAATGCGATATTATTGAACCATTTTAATAAAATAAATCATACGTTATCGAAAATGACACGCTGAAGCTTACGATATATTGGATTACAACACCCCACCCCCACCTTTCTGTACTATAGCCCTTCAGTTGTTGGCTCAAGGGTCACGGCCATTTGCTCGTAAAAGACACATGTACTGGTTAGTTGTATTAAGTATATTTGAGACCGATATAAATAATATGAATGAGATAAAAAAATTTAGAGATACTATGTAATCAATTTTTTAACTATGAAATATTTAAAGACTCTAAAGAAATATTCTTACACGTATTATATATATTTCAGCTTGCCATGAGGAAGGCGGACCAAGAACTCGCAAAAAAGCTTCTTAGCTTGTACTCTGAAATCCAGATTTTAAAGGTGAAGAATTCCTGTATGAATTACAGCGAACTAATTGACGAGGCGGTGTACGAGACGGAAATGGCGGACGATTTTCCGGATATGTGTGATGCGCCCCGGAAGTTCACGAACAAGTTACTGGCCAGCCATGGCGTTACGAGTTTTAACATTCATTCTAGGCGATTTTCTTGCAGTTAAATAAACAGATTTATAATTAAACAGTTTGATTAATACAATAAGCATTTTATGCTGTTGATACTTACATTTTTCCTAATGACATCATCACTGTCACACTAGCTTTGGGTGAATTTTTACTCAAAAGACTGCTTAATTCCAAAAGATATAAATCCATGAAAAACTTCATGTAAGTAACTAAAAAACCCACGTAGGTGTGGAAACATCTAAACACGCAACTCAAAACCCGTGAGTTTAAGAAACTATTAAAAAAACAGCAAAAAAATGTTATAAATCTCGAAAAATTTAAATCCACAATCAATTCTATAAAAACACAGACTGTCGTTTGCCCGCTATATGTATGACAGGTGTCAATAGCTTGACCTTATGAAATAGACATCATTTGATGTTAATTTCAGACTATAAATAACACGAGGTCAAATTTAATTTAAGTATCGCTGTTTTTTGAGAAAAAGTGTATTATGTAGAATCATAACATTAAATACTGAACAAAAACAACAATAACAAAAAAGCTATCTATTTGTATGTACGAGTGGTGATTGTTCTCTGCAAATGACTTGCTATGTACGTACTACTTTTTTAAACAAATATTCAATAGTGTTCATATAATTATGTTCATTCATGTATCTCATGTTTGTATCATGTATGATTCACTGAGAGAAATTTGAAATATAGCAACAATCGCAACTACTCGCCCCTTTCCTTCAGTCGTCGGATAAGGCCCCGAACACAATAGTATGAATACACAGAATGGATGCAGTATTTCGGTCTAACCTACGCTAAGAAACTTTACATGTAAACAAATAGTAATTCAATGCTGGGAATTGCTGACAAGTCTATTTCCAATATATGTAGTAAAACTCCACCTAAAATAAGTAAATTCATAGGTACAAAAGCAAACAATACATTATTTTTATATTTATTATTATGGTTGTAAAAACCGAAAGTACAAAAAACCAACCTGTTAACATTTAGTCGGATTTGTTTTAAATTGTACTTCAGTGGGCATAATTATTTAAATTACAAATTGTTGTCAGATATATTTTCAATCATAAGAGTAGCGAAACAGATATTACTTTCCTTTTGGATGTCAAATAATTATGTACACCCGTTTTACATTATCTCTGTGTCTGTTTACATCTGAAACCACGTGGTAGAACTACTTTCAATCCGTATTGTTTCCGAGGTTATTTTAGATAATAGCCGAGGCAGTTCCGAATGTAGCAGCAACTTCAAATTCTCGGCCTTTTCCGTCAAACTTTTAATAGCCGATTTCAAGCTACAGTCCCACTAACATCCCGGCAGAGCCCCGGTAGACGTCCGGGGTGATCGGGAATCCGGGTAGGGCCGGGAAAACCGGAGTAAATTCGTAACTTCCCCGAACCCCGGGGTACCCGGGAACCCCGGGCATCCCCGGGTTAAAATACAAATTAATATACCGGGGGGTGCGGATACCCGGGGCAGATAGTTTTCCCGGGGGAAAGCACGTAGCTTGGGGTACAAACCGGGACCGGGCATGATATACCCGGTAGCTAGGGGTAGCCCCGGGAATGCTGGCAGAGCCCCGGTAAAACCCCGGCAAACCCCGGTAATCCCGAAAAGGCCCGGGGGATGCCAGCAGAGCCCCCTGAAATGACGATGCGAGCTACGGTTTTGACCCGGAGAAGTCCCGGCAAAGCCGGTTAATTTTAAAAAGAACACGACAATTCGCGATGATTTCACTTGTTTGTATTAAAACCCTTCCCATTCCCTTAATGCAGTCTTGCATAAGGATTTTCAGAAAATCAACATAAGTGTGACCGCAACAATAATTTCACCCCGGATCGCCCCGAATCATCCCGGTAACTTACCGGGGTGGTCTTGGGCTCTGCCGGGAGTGAGACCGCAGCTTATAGATTATTGGTGAGGAGTCCCGAATGTATGATAATACGCTCGACTTTGAAATATAGTTCTAATAAATAAGTGGCGCCACGACCATTTTTCGCAAATTATGCCATTCCTATCCGAAACTTATTTACTCAGAATTTTTCCCGTTTCATGCTCAACTTCAAAGCTATTTTGCGTAAACAAAACTAAAAAAATGTGTATTACAGCTTGGGAACGCAAATTAAAAGGCAAAGACCTCGATGGGGAAACCAATTTCAATAAAAAAAAAAAAGTAGTTTATTAACAAACACTCGCCCAGAAAACTTTTAAAATATTTTACTCTTCATAAAAGAGGATTTAAAATATATATGATTGACACTTTATTTAGAACCCAATATATATATATATATTAATATTATATAATAAGAAATTCAACCCTCTCTCTTAAGAGTTTCCCAAGCGCTTTATGAATTTATACAAACACATAACTGGAAAACAGTTTTATTTTAACTTGCTTAAAGACCCATTATGCCTAAGATATGATTTTATTTTAAAGATAACAGAAAAGACCTGGAAAGAAGGTTTATTTCGTAGTATAAATGGTACATCATATAGACATGTACAAACAAAATGTACGTACAATGCATGGCAATAATTTTCTTATATAAATTATTCATGTTATCATATTAACGAAGGTGTTGTGTATTTTATTTGTTTATATTTCTATCTTGTTGTTAATTCTTGGCTTTTTAAATGAATTTAACAAGTATAATGTGATATTATGGAGAAACGGTTTGTTCTCTTATTTCGTAATTTCAACAAATTTCATCAAACTAGGTCACACGGTGCTATTTCTTCTTTAACAGTATTGTAATATTTCCTATTCTAGTTTCTTTGACCATTTTGACGTACATATGTTGGGTTTTAATAAAAAAAAGAGAAAATTATATGAAAAAAAATCTATTTAAATATTTACCATATATTATAATTACACTTAATAATAATTATAATTTACCATATATTATAATTACAACAAGCTCCGGTGAGAAATATTCACTTTATCATCAAACATTTTGAGGAAAAAATACATCATTTCTGATTTTAATCTTTCTAAGTACCAGTGCTGTACAATAAATACGTGTGATTTACAATGAATATTTCGTTTACATAGTAAACAAATACAATAGTCAAAATCTTGCTTTGAAAAACTAACCAAAAACAAAATGTAAAAATGTTACCAAAATGTGGAAACATGAACAAAGTTGGACTTCGTCGTGTGTTTTAAAAGCTGCAACAACAACAACAACACAATCACCCCCACACCTACAAACAATGTTATGTTCATTTTTACAAGCAATAAAGTGCTCCAAAAATATTCCGGAGAAAAAGAGATTACTGATAAATAGATAAATAAATCACTCTATCACTGTTTTATGTCATGATAAGAGAAAGAAAGGAAATAAAAAAAGAGAAAAAAAATGAGAAGAAAAAAAATCAGTTTTGTAAAAAAAAACTTGCTAATTCTGTCAGCGTTCTGTCTAGGTTAACTCCTATGAAATTATGTAAGGTATTAATAACTCGTAACTGCAATAAAAAGACGGTATTAGACTATCAGATACTATTACAGATTATATGGGGGTTATCGCCATGGCTTGAAGACAGACAGCGCTTTTCATTTAAAATGCAGATTATTATCTGTATTCTCTATAAGATATTTCGTATTAAACTGATAAAATATATAATAAAATTGACGATATATATACGCTAACATTGTCAAATAACTAAATAAATAAATAAAAATTAAACACAATGCATGAAATAAATAAACAATACAGAAAAAAAAAATAAATAAAATTTATAACATTAATTAATGATACAAAAAAAAAAATACAAAAAAATAAATAATACATATTAAATAAAAATAAAAATAAATATTTAAAAATAAATGAAAAAAGAAATAAATACAACGTTTTTCCTTAGCTATCTTCAGACAGTTATTTACGCAATAACTAGTATGATCTCGTACAGGTAATATATATGATTTTAGCACTTTTAATCTGCAGCATACCTTTAGTTCTATCCAATGACGTATGTAGGTTTGCCACGGGACAGATAACTTTCCTTGATGATTTAAACAACTTCTTTCCCATTTAATTTTTGTTAATCATTAGAAAAAAATCAAAACACACCACGGCATACTTGTGATATTGCAGCTTTCTGTAAGCAAGATGAAATAGATATACATACATGTATTTTTTACATGTACCCATATCACATTTAGAAACATTTCCTTTTAACATATTATGTTTTAACATATAATTTTTATTACATGTAGTTATGTGTATTATTTGTGGTTGACTTGCATCGCTTACATGACCGATGTGCAAGCATTTCTTTCACTGCATTTTTGAAACGAGGGTCGCATACGCCGTATATTATTGGATTTATTGCACAGTTCAAGAAGTATGACCGGAGGAAGAATTTGTACACAGCTTTGCTCCTTTCCGATAGGCCCTCAACAAATCCTTTCTTCGTCAGCCGTATCGAAACCAAGGCGAGGTGAGGGAAGAAACTTAAAATGAATGCAATTGTCAGAAGAAACATGAGAAAAGATGTTTTTCTTGCTCGTAACATATTAGCGGTAGCTTTCGAATGAGGACATCCGCTGACTTGTGGTTGAATATCACTTCTTCCAAGCGTTTTGTTTATTTTAGCCGCTTGTTTACGAAGTTTTTGTCCAATCATGCAGTAAAGTATCGTCATTGTTACTGTAGCTGTCACAAATAGCACGCCAAACGTAAGAAAATATAGAAACGGAAGTGACGCCTCCTTAGCTCCATTAGTCACCGAGCATTCACTTCCGGTAAGATTGACTTCCGGTATATGAAACGTGTGTTTGCCGTAAACAAATATGGCGGGTAAGGCTACAATAATACCAAGTACTACTGATATAACGCACAGTGCAATTGTCACGCTCGTTTTTATTTGCCATTCGAGGGGTTTACAAACTTTCCGGAAACGTTCAAAAGCAATAAATACCAGAAGGAATGCCGATGAATTAGAACTGAATGTGTTGAAAAACCTTGCAACTTGACAACGCCATCCACTTTCATATGTATACTGCTGAAGAATTGTTGATATTTCAAAAGGAATCGCTACGGTGCACGAAAAGAAGTCTAACGCACTCAGGCATAGCAAAAAGCACTGGATGTTCGAATAAGTGAACTTCGTCTTATATACGTAAAGGGCTAAACTATTCCCAACCAGCCCAGTTACCGATATGAATATCAGAAAGACCACGGTGGGTATGAGGGTTTTGACCTCAGCGTCATTTAACTCTTGTAACGTTAAATAGTGTTCACTATATTCGGACATACTTTTGGCGTCCATAATAACGAGCAAAAAAGAAATTGATAATCCAAACAGTCATACACCCACCATGTATAGTATTGTTTAAGCACTCATGTTCTTAAATATATCATTAATAAATGATAAATAAACTATAGATTCCTTATCAAATCAAGAAGATCCGGTTTGGACTACAAAACTCACGTACATGTATTTAAAAATTCATTTACAAAATTGTACAAGTGTTAATTAACGATCTGATTGAAATCACTGGATAAATAAGCAGTTTATTTAAATAAACAAACACACTATTACACCATTTACAAACAGCGCCTGGTATGTTGCATTCTATGCATATTTTAACGTTCATGTATTTCTCTTCTAAGAAAACATAAATTCAATATCTCCTTTTCTACTTTCATTCAAATCTATACATAAATTATTATCACATGTTATGAAAAAAAAATTCTCTGTTCATTTTCATCCTTTAAAATCATAATTCCAATTTTTTTAGAGATTCATTAATTTAATCCAACTGTAATCGCACACGGTTTATGCATTCTTTGAACTGAATAAAAAAAAACAACACCTTGAGCTTTTTCTATGATCCAGTCATGTTTTTTTTTCTCGAAATAGATCAGTGATAACTGGATCTTCAATCAAAGTAATAAACGATGTATTCATACACAGAGAGAACCATGCGCCGGCAATTTGTTCTCCGTTCTCTCTAGGATCTCTCTATAGGAGATTTTGCCGTGCGCGGCGGATAACTACGGAAGCCACATAAACGCCATCTCTCTGTGATTGATTGTTTTCTTTGGATGTTCCATAAGGATAGAACAGTTGTTTTATTAACAGAGAAGAAATACATTGACACATAAAATTTGATGGTTTTTGATATAAAAGTTGGATAATTAGCTGTATATGGAAAATTGAGTGAAACCACTCTCGGTGCATAGAATCTTTCTATTTCTTTAAGATTATGGCACTTTCACCGACAGTACAGATATTATAGTTCTACGTCGGTTGTCGGGCTGGTATCTTGGAAGTTGCGGGACCTATGTGTTCTCTTATTACAGCTCTCAATCTGACGCCACACAATTCTTCCACAGTTTTATGAAAGCCTAACTATACAGGAAACAATATTAATTGATCGAAAATGCAATGTTGGGCACATAAACATTTCTAATTAAGGGCCGATATGAAATTCTTCACGACATTATAAATAGAAAACTCAACCATAAGAAAACGGCCATTCCGAGAAAAGTCGAGCATGATGAGATTCAGACATTCTGATTGGCTGTTTAACTCGGCCATTTTAAAGCAAATGCTACGAATAGAAAAACTCGACGCCATTTTAAACAGGATGGTTCAGAATGTTTTTTTTAACATAACCTGAAAGAAATTTGATGCTCTCTTTAAAAAATGATGTTGATGTTTATTTTTTATATTTCATGAGAAGTGTTGCATTATGTTGTTATAATAATAAGACTTCAGCCCAAGTACATGGACGTTATTAAAACTCTTAATTATAAACATAAAACTAGGGGAAATAGTTGCCATATCCATGCCATGCAGGGTTCAAGGTCAGTTCTCAGTTTAAAAGTGCGAGTCTTGCAACTGAACGGCAACTTTGCAAAATAAAGTGGTGTCCCATTTACGCTTCCGTACAGCATTACGCCTCTATAGAATCAAGTAAATATAATAAATTATGTAAATTGTTATAATGAGTATTGAATGTATCCAATATTAAAGCGAGCATGCGACACTTATATCCTATTCGATACGGAAATAATACGCATGGGATATAGTTCTTATAAGTGACTCTCTTTTTTCATGTCTATTTTAAAGTTTTTTTTTAGATTTTCATTGATTTATTTAAAGTGAAACCGGAGCGCAGCTGTTCTTTTAGTAACGGCACTTAAAAATAAATGCATATTTCAAACCGATCCAATGAATATTAAAATGATACAGAAATAATATAACATTTAAGTGTATTAATTATGTATGTAATAAATGAACGTGGCACGTGTTGCTAAAATAAAAAGTGCTGTTGAAGTTTATTCTATTGCATAAAATAAATGTCAAATATTATACAAATTGTATACTGAATTGTAGTTTATTTCTATGGAATCATGGTTTTTGAATGTTTCTCACTGAATACATTAAGATATAGCGTATAATTGTATTTCAAAACACAGCTTGTTTCTACCACTGGAATTCCTACAAGGTTTTTATCCCTCGTGGAAATGTTGTAATTAAATTTGACGGTTGGAAGACGAGAAGGAGGGTGCTGTTTTATCACGTGGTTTGAACTTTTATTCAGAAAATTAATATCTACCTGTGCTTCCAACATGTCAGATGTGGTGTACGGTAAGTTTATTTTCAATATTCCATGTAATAGAAGCTTTCAACAGAAAGATCCCCAAACTATGATACAAAAGGCTATATAGCCCATAAGGATATACAATGCATTATATATGGCAAGACAGTATATAGCATAAATGTACAAAACAATTTAAACAGCGGAGAAGATTTACAAATAATTAAATGTCTTCCTAATTAGTATATGACATCAGATATGCTTACCGAATTCCACTTTGGTACATAGCATTCATTTTTGATATCTAAGGCCGTGTCTACACCTATTCAAGTTTCTTACATGTCACATTTAGATAAGCTAAATAAATGGCCCTTACAACAAATAATCAGGCACAATTTTTACTGAAATGCCTCATTAAGATAGCCCAGGATTTATACCTTTGTCCTTGCAAGACTATCATGTTTCTGTAAAATATGTGAAAAAAGCGGGAAAATGATGCAATTAGCTAAAACAGAATGGAGTTAATGAAATCTGTTCATTCTTTTTTAAAATTGAAAATATGTGACAAAAAAATTATTTTGATGCAAATTCTTTATTTGAGGAAAGTTTATTCACTAAATGAACAAGATCATTTTAAATCCATTTTTGACTTTACTTGAAAAAGAGCTCTTTTTTTATTTTTTTACAATGTAAATTATTTTTATTTTTATTTTTTTTTTTTTTTTTTTGCTCTTCTGACTGTATCAGCGTATTGGTTTGTTCCTTTGACCAAGACATTGTAATCATTTACTGAAATTCAAAAGGGCATGTACACAGAATCAACAACAAAAAGTCAGAAAATAATAAAAATAACAGCACTATCAAACCTCCGGGCACATGTTTTGTGTCAAACCGGTGTTATCAGTGTCTTGACAGCCAAAAACTTGTAGAAAAATAGAACGTGTTCTAACTTTCTTGCAAGGAATTATCTTCTTGGATGTCACATAATTTCTCTTTAAAACTCATTCAAGTAGGGTGTCTACACTATCCAATACAAGAGAATATGATACTTGCATTCAAGACTTGGATAGGTGTAGACGGGCTCTAACGATATATTGTTTTTAAAGTAATGTATTTACCAATGTTTTGCCGTTATATGTCACAACGACGCCAAATGTCGAACTTGCTGCTAAATGTCGCGATATTGCCGCTAAATATCGCAACCGCCGCCAAATATCATGAGGTTAAAGGTCACAACATTTAAATTCATGTTCTTCTAAGTACTGGCTTTCTATCAGACAAAAACGAATTTTCTGTTATGTACGAACAAAACTTGTTTAAAATTGAAGTTATCTAGTCAGTATTTAAAAAAATGACGATCATAATTTATGCCAAAAAAGCCCCATTGGTGATAAAACACATATGTTTACTTTTTTTTTTCATTTAGCAACCCAGATGTCGTGGATTCGAGCTACGTCATTAGGCCAATAAATCTACTCGTCCCCGGCTCTCTTAAATAGAGACAAATCGGATCCCTAAAAAAGACCAACATAGCAAATTGAAAATGTTACAGGCTCGGTTTGATTGAGCCTGTGTACGAGCGGGAACCTTGGTGGACATGAAATAATCGAATAAAGTCGAAGGCACATTAAAATGCTCACTCTTCGATCAAGATATGACAGAAATCATGCACCATAGAATAAAGAAATTAACAGCGTAGCTTGGCAAAAATGTCCTAAGGCTATATCCGCTATAGTGTGAAACATATATCCAATATGTAACGCATTTAAAACGTTTTGAAACGTTCATGTTTCCCAAAAAATGAAATGATTCTATTATATACAGAGAATGAAAAGAAGAAAAAGCTGTAGACTCAAAATTTTCCAAAAAAAATAAATATGATCTTTTTAAAAATTTCATAGCGAACTTAAAAAGACCAAAACCGATAACCCGCTTGGTTTGCATACCTATTGTTGTATATAAACCAATTCAAGACAAATCAATTGAAATTAGCCTCCTTATCGAAAAGAATAAGAAAATGGCACAATTTCAGTCTGCCCTTTACTAAAAGGGTGGACAACTATTTGTCCCTTTCTCGTAAGAGAAGGGGACGCCTGTGATGCGTGTATGTGGTCACACGGTCACTTTCCTTACAATATGTCCTCGATGCATGTATGTGGTCGCATGGTCGAAAATCTCTTAATGGATCTTTATGTCAGAAATATTCCCCTTTGATGCTCGTGGCTTATTAATAAATACATGTTACTATAATCCGTTGCCAATAAAATGTGCTGATATTGATATTTTATCAATATTCTAACAAGTGTGCATACGCCTCGAACTATTTTTGTACAGTGTTGTTATATGTAAACATACGCGTGGAAATAGTTCATGTCAGAGGTGATAAATGCACAGGACGTCAATATAAATAGTTTAATATGACTTATACTTGACAAGGAATAAAAGATATTGCAATTAACAACAGCACAACGCCCCCCAAACAACAACAACAACAACAAAAACAACAACAAAAAACACCATTTGTTGCGACACCACGATATTCAACAACAACATCAGCAACAAAAACAGAAACTGGATATGCTTTGTGTCTGTGGGTTCTTTTGATATAACTTTAATTGAGATAAAATGTTTGTGCATTAAAAAAAATGTTATTGAATACTTGATTTTCAATTACCATTCTTTTTCTCGGTAAAACGCATTTCGTTTCGGACTATCTCTAAAACTGCTTACAAAAGAACAATTATTATAGCAATGGTGGAAATAAATGCTTTTTCTTATGAACTGTTAAATCAATAATGTATTTTTATGAAGAAAAAGGGGCGTTTTGAACGGGGCAAACGGAAATAAATGAAAAAAATACGGGTGAGCAATTACCCAATCAAAGTTTATCTTTTATCAATAAAAAAAAATAGCAGGAAATATCATAATCCCACTTGATAGGATTAATAAATAGGTTCAGGGTTTTTCGAAATCTCAAACCCCGCGTCCCCCTGACCTATTATGAACGTTAAAATTTAGGGAGACAATTCAAACTAGCAAATTATTAAAGGTGTGATTGGATTGTCTCCCTTGAATGAATGTGTTCTTGATGTGACTCAGTCACTGATGAATATGAAGGGAGACAATACAAACTAGCAAAATCTTAAAGGTATGATTGGATTACCTCCCTTGAATAAAAGCGTACTGGTGTTGACATGTAAGATGTTAAATAAATATCCCACAAGAAGTTTTCTCTGTTTGAGTGGTCTGTTCACATTTACATAATGTATAATAACTACGAAATAAGGCGCACTTTTGAAATATAAGCGCCAAAAGGCGATTTTTTTCGAAAACAGCATTTGTAACGATGCCATAATTAAGTAATGTGATTAAATCACTTAAGCATTTTTGTATATTTTATCTTTTTCGAAGAAAGTATATTTCGTCGCTGGGCATTGGTCGTCTGTTCGTGATTTGCATGCTTTGATACGGAATTTTGGCTGCAACCCAATAACGGTTATGACGTAAGGTAGCACGCTATATCAGAATATATCATATGGTTTTTCAATAGTACGTCAGGTTCGCGGGACAGATTTTATTGAATGTTTGAAGCTACAAGCATGCAAGCATGCCGAATGTCTTATTGTCTCGCCCGCTAATTAGCATACATATGTATATAACAGCTTAGTGGTCGTTATGCCGAGGTAATTTCCGATGATTTTGTAACATTACAAGTAAAATGCAATGTCTTTTTACTGTTTTCGTTTGACACAATATATATGGCTTACTTTTTTTTGTATTAAGAAAAAACATAATTCACCTACCATAAATACATGTATGTGACTTTAAATAAAGCAATGTGGACATGGAATGTAAAAAAAAACCTATTTACTGTCAAAAAGAAAGCCAACATGTGTCACGCACTGGACATTATTTCGCGACTCCCAGACGTAACTTTCTCTTATTCTCTTTGTCAACTTAAAATGTGAGCTATTCTAGGTATTTAATGACAGTCCACAAATAAAATTGTTTTTCATTGTATATCAAATTATGGCTGATTTATACCTGAAGTTATCAATATGTGGTCTATTTGTGGCCACAAATGATGAAGTTGATATATGTATGATCTTGTGGTGTGGCTATAACGGTCATATTTGTTGATATATCAAATACTAATACTTATAGTTTTGTTTGTTTTTGGTTTGGTTTCTTTATGTTATTATCGACATAATTGTTACTTGAATACGCATCAGTATTCACAGAACAGAACAGAAAATCTCTTTCCTAACTCAAGTTAGATAAATAACGTGTAAGTAAACATACAAAAACATATGTATGCATACATTTGTGGGTGAAGTGTTGCCTTTAAGTGTTGAGACATCATAACTGTAGCCACCTTTAAGTGTTGAGGCATCAGAACTACAGCCAACGTTTATTCATGCGTGGTCGTATGAGGCGATTAAATGGGTTCGAATTAGGAGTCTATGCATCTCTTAGCTCCGGCAGGTGAGGTTGTTTTGACCCCTGGGAAGTGTGTTACACCCGATGTTATCCAAAATCATCTTTCCTGTTTAGGCGCCATATAACCTCAATCGTATAGTTGCGCCGTAAAACCAAACAAACAAGTTTAAACCTTATTTGTCATGACGCATAAGTATGATATTGTAATAATGATAAAGTCAATGATTTGAAAAGTGAAGTGTTTTCTACACAAGAACAAAGCAAGCTTGATAATCATTATTATTTAAAATCTTGAGCACATTAAAACTATATGTGTATTAATATGTAGTAGCATTTACCATTGTTTATTTATCGGTGCGCTGTTTTCAGATTTTATTTTCGTTTTTGATTACAAGGTTTTATCATGAACTGTCAACATTCTATGGAACCATTTTGAGAGCGTAGGAAGACTTTGTTATTGTGGCTGATTTGGTATCCTTTTGTGCGTCGCGTTGGCGCTAGCAACAACACGACAAAGCGCCAAACGGGGCGTTGTCGCGCTGTCGTCTTATCTCTAGTGCAGCACGCCAAACGGCGCGTTGTCGCGCTGGCGTCTTATCTCTAGCGCAGCACGCCAAACGGCGCGTTGTCATGCGGCGTGTTGTCGCGATGTCACACTGTCGCCCGGTTCAAATTGAAGGATTGACTTATAAGCCAAGCGACAGGGCGACAACGCGCTGCACGACAACGCGCGGTTTGGCGTGCTGCTCTTGAGACAGGACGACAAGACGACAGCGCGGCAGGACGACAAGACGAAAGTCCAACAACGCGCCATTTGGCGTTTTGTCGTGATGTCCCTACCGCAAATTAGATGCACAAAAGCGTAACAAATCAGCCACCATACTTAATACTGTGTCTCGATATGTCATGACTAATGTACTATTTTTCATATTCATGTGGGTGTATTTCTTTTCAAATAAAATTATTTAATAAACGATTCAGTATATTTCCGTACATGTGAGTAATGCGCGGGAAATAATTCACAGAAAAATTGGCAGGCCGCAGCCGGGACTCAAACCAAGTCAATCAAGCGACCTGTGGATTTAGTCCCGCCGGCGGCGTGCCATTTGTTTTGTGTGTGATTTTTCTTTGCATATATACACTACGTTTATTTCGGGTAGAAGTACGTACATTTTTTTATAAGATGTGTAATACAATTCTCCGTATTCGGTTGTATCATGCAAGGACTTTAAATATACTTCGAAAAAAAAACGACACTTTGGAGCGGATTCGTGATGCAGTGGTGACACAGATGTCACAGATGATCGATCCACTCTACACTATTTACAATGTAAATGGTCTTAAGGACACATGTCCCATGTGCCGGTGCTTTGCAATGGGCATTTGCTGGAACTACTGTGTTTTCTGTATCAATTTGTTCCTTCTGAAATAACGGTTATCAATGGGCGTTGCAGATAACGGCAACAAAAAATGAGTACAAAAATGCGTCATAAAATAGATAATAAATAAAAAACCCAAAACAACAACAACAACAAAAAACTTTGTGCAGTTGTGACATTTTCCTGTAGACATTCCATGATGTAAATAGTGAGCTTTCTTTTTTTGCCATTTAAAACGTATTGCTTTAACTATAAAGTACATTTTTGGCAAGATTTAGCTAATAGAAACGATTTATTTTTATGTACAGTGTCTCTACATGTGTATAAGTGCATGCATAAGTTAGAGGTTTTTTTTATACGCTGCCGCTTAGTCACACTCGTACATGTATATCGCAATGTCATGTGACGACATTTCAGTATGTGACCTATCTTTTTTGCTTTTTTTGCTTATTTTATTGACATTTATATGACATTTACTGATTTTTATAAATGTATATATATCATATCCATAAGGAGACATAATTTTGCACATTTCGGAGACCGTTAACAAAGGTATGTTTAAGGCAGTGTCAGGCAGTGCATTATACGATTTAACAGCTTAAAGGCCCATTATGCCCAAGTAATGCCTTTATTGTTATTTCTGAAAATCTTTTTAATTTTGGTGTACTTAAATAGCATTCAAAAAGTTACTCATTACCTCATTACTTGAACCAATTTTTTCAGCTGTTGCTTGTTAGCAATAATTACACTTATAGGGGATTATATTTTGTATGGAAGTCAAAATACTACTTTGTTTACATTTTGCTACTTTAAGACGAATCGTTTCACATTCACCGCTACATTCGTCGGATAACAAGCATCTAACATTCTATAAAAGAATTATCTAAACATTATAAAATAAGGTTTGCCCTATCTAAAAAAATAAAATTTTATTTGTTTCTGAGGCATAATGTGCCTTTAATGTCTAATTTTTCAAATGTATTGATAAAATAAAAGAATAAAAAAAATCCAATGAATGAAGTCATATTACTGATTCCCATATAAAATTGTGTGTGTATATGTTTATTAGATATAAACGATAATTGTGAGTAAATGACATTCGGCCATTTACGTTACACTTCGTATTTTACGAGTACGTATATTCGGCAATTTCCGCTGGTTAGTGTCAAGTGTGCGCACAATGAGAAACAACATAATCTAGGTAACAATTAGTTCCGGATTAATTGAAACCCATATAGAAAATAATTAAAAAAAGAAAAAGATATTTACATTGCAAGAAATTAGCAGTCTATAATTAGAAAACCTATATACATCTTGTGTTTTGAAGCACTTTTGTATGTAAAAATAAAATCTAAAAAAAAGGCAAACTGGCGCAAGTGTTAATTTTGTACTGTGTCATACAACTACATTGCCAGTTTACGGGACCTGCTTCTTCTTCTGCAACAATGTTCCAATATATCCTTGCAAGCGGCTTTGAACCGTGAGTCACAAATGCTGTAAATAACAGGGTTTATAGCACTATTTAAAAAGTACGATCTCAGAAAAAACTTATACACCGCTTTGTTTGTCTCCGACATACCGTCCACAAAGTCACTTTTAATCTGTCTTATGAGCATTAACAATAAATGTGGTAGAAAGCTGAGTATAAATCCCAGCGTGACGACGAACATCAAAAACGCTGTCTTCCTGGCACGCGCCTGTTTCAAAAATTGTGTCCGTTTCAGCGTTCCCGTTTCAGAGTCGGTTCGCGCACTTGTTATTGACGTCATGCGGAAAACAGCGTTTGAAATACGATTGCTTATTGATGAGATTCTACGAATAACTCCGCTTTGTTGTTTTGGTAATATTTCTTCACTTGACGTCGGTGAAACTTGCATTTTCACCTCATCCATTTCAACGTCCTGAAACGATATTTGGCTTTTCTTAAAATCCTTTTTTACAGATTCACTATTGTCAGTTTTCGGTTCTTTATTTTCATCTGCGTCTGCATCTTCTTTAACCTTGATACCACTGTCTTCAGAATCTGAATGATGGTCTACTTTCTCCTCCTTACATTTTCCGTCTATGTTTTCAAGTTTTATAATGTTATTTTGGCCCTTTTCAGTCTCCGTACTTTCCAAATTGCACGTATAAGACAACTCGAAGTCCTTCTTGTCTGTCCACGAGTCGTCGTTTTCTTGTTTTCGCTTTTTCTTTGCACTCCACCTTTTTTGTGATTTTTCATTATTCTTGTCGAATTTCGCTGTTGCATTCGGACCTAGATCCCCTGCTAATTTTGAGTCATGCGGATCGATAATTGAGGATGTCATTGGAATCGACATATTCCTACCGAATGCTTTCTTCATTTTATTCGAATGCTTCCGAACTTTGTGACCGATGAAACAGTATAAAATAGACATAGAAATTATCCCGGCAACAAACATAAATCCGAAAACAAGCGCGTAATAAAACGGAAACTTCGTTTCGGCCATTTCGTCTGCTGTAGAACATTCAGTTCCGGTCATGTTGAACTCTGGGATATTGAACGAATGCTTTCCGTAAACAAATATGGCGGGCCAAGAGACGAAGAGCCCAAGAAACAATGCCAGGGCACATAGACATTTTGCAACAGACGTACGTATTTGCCAGCCGAACGGTTTACACACTTTCCTGAATCTATCCACCGCGATAAACAACAGTATAAAAGATGAGGAAATAGTTCCCAACGTGTTGAACACTCTGGTTGTCTTACATAACCACACATGTTCAAACGTGTACTGTTCCAGTACAGTCGAAATCTCCAGAGGAATTGCAACGCAACATGTTAAAAGGTCCACAGCGCTAAGACACAAAATAAAACACTTGGAGTTTGACATTTTGAACCGCGTTCTGTACACATGGATAACAAGAACATTTCCAATCATCCCGACCACGCAGATTATCATTAGAAACACAATCGTCGGGATAAGCCTTTCCACCTCCGCGGCGTTCATCTCTTCAAGTGTCGGCACATGTTTCGTAAACATCTCGCTGGACTGCGTTGTTATTAGCGTCACGTTAGACATGACGTCGCGTTCGAAACCTCGCTTGATTGAATTCCTGGTGTTGAGTCTAAAATATGTTCGCCTGTTTATTCATTCAACTCTGAAATATAAGGTGAACTATTAATCGAATGAATGCTCATTTAATTTCAGAAAACGTTAATGTATATGAATTAATTCTAGTATTAAAAATGAAACTAAGAATTAAAAAGACCAACTTTCAGTTATAATTGTTTCATTGTTGGTCGTTGTACTTTAATTAGCATAATACAAATCATTAAAACTTCTTGGAAAAGTATCCAATTAAAACACTAAAGACACCGGAAGCATGCAATTACGGAAATAATCATCACATGAAATCTTGTTCAGCCAAATACATGTTAAAGTACAACTGCGGCCGTGGCATTTCATCTCTAAATATTATATTCGTGAAAGAAATACTAAAACAGAATTTTGGTTTCATTGCATCAATAACTATATCGGTTTTAAACTTTCTATATCTAAAAACTGATACTTTTAATACAAACGAGAACTTTTGAACAATCTGCCATCTTTAAAATTGCAAAATTGCTTGAGTTAAAAAAAATTCATGTACTTTCAAAATGCTTGTATGAAAGAAATATGGAAGTAAATTGCTTTGAAACCCACGAAATCATTTAAAAGCGAATATGAAATATAAATTTCCAGAGTAATTTATACAGTACACTAGTTTTTAGTTATATCATCAAAAATGATTTTACATTAAGTAAATCTGAATTCAAACCGGAACATTAAATGTCATATTTTTAACAATAGTCTAAAGTATCAACCAAGGTCAAAATGTAGATCAAAGTTGAAGTATTTACATCATATGAGTGCCTCAAAGGCCCGAACCGATTATACTATAGCAATTAATCACTTAATGCCCGGACGAATGACTCAGGCGTTCGTTTGAAATGGACCAAAGACTAGAACATAACTTATAACAACAAGAAATTAGTCATATGTATGTAGATATATACTTATATTGCAAATCGTTCTTATTAATTAGACAGCCGCCGGACAGATGAACGTAGCTTACGGGACATGTATCACGTGACCGGAAATACTTATCTGTTACAATCTTCAAAGGGAGACTGACCTAATTATTTGATCTATCTTTCAGACAACAATTCGTACATAATTCGCTTATTAAGTACATTCTATTGTAAAAATTTTGTTCCTTTTCTATAAACAAATATTTTAAGTTACAAACGTTTTTATTTCAAGACCTCTTAAAGGCCACTAATGCCACAGAAATTTAAATGCCCAAAAGCTTTTTAATATTGGTGTACTTTTAATTATTGTATATAAAAAGTTACTAATTGGCCATAATTGGCCAACTTCTGCAATAAAAAAAAAAATAAAAATAATAATGCTAATGATGATGATGATGATGATGTTATAACTGTTGTTGTTGTTGTTATTGTTGTTGTTGATGACGACGACGGCAGTGGTGATGATGGTAATGGTGGCGATGATGATGATTATGATGATGACAAATCGACGTTATTAATGTTATTACTGTTGCTGTTGGTGTGGTTGTTGTTGTTGTTGATGATTACGATGATGAAGATGATGATGATGGTAATAATGATGATGGTGGTGGTGATGATGATTATGATGATGATGATGATGATGATGATGATGATTATTAATATAATGATGATGATGATGATGACTGTGATAAAAATTATGACTTTATTTCATTCCAAACATTTGCACATGCTTACTTGGCTCTCAAAAAAGTATATGTGTGAAGTATATGCCGCATCTACTGCCAAAACTGTGCTGTTTGATGATTAAGGTTGCAATCTCACAAGTTGTCGCAGTCAATTTCATTTAATAACATCAAGATGTGGCAATTTGTGGCAATTACGTTTTATTCCGAGCTTTATTATTTCAACAAACTGCTTCTAGCAATTTTTTTAGACATTTTACGGGCGCCCACTTTTCGTATTACGGGGTGATTTTTTACGAATTAAAATTTATTGTGAAATTATGAAAAATTGTCTAAATTGAAATTTAAAAAAGAAATTCAAAAAAGAGAAATAATGCCCTTTTTCACAAAGAGAAGATTGCTGCTCAGTAAGAGAAGAGAAATATCCTATGCCTGAATTTAACGGAACATATAGACAACTTTAGACAATTGTGGATTTATTTTTCGACAGAAATGTTTGTTTACGCACATTTGATAAAAAAGAATACTATTTCTCTGGAATATTAAAAATAAAAAGAATCATATGTTAAGTTCACCTATGTCACTGTATTTCAGGTAGTTTATGTCACTGTTGTTCATATCACAGTATTTCCAGTAGTTTATGTCACTGCATTTCAGGTCACAGTATTTCCGATAGTTTATGTCACTGTTTTTAGGTATTTAGGGACACAGTATTTCTAGTAGCTCGGGTTATATTTCCAAACAGCCGTTTATATATAGGGTCATTTTAACCTGTCAACCTGACAGTATTTCAGGTAGTTCATGTTGCTGTATTTTTATGTCACTATATTTCAGGTTGTTTATGTCACTGTATTCTAGGTATTTAGAGATACAGTTTTTCTAGTAACCCGGGTTATATTTCCAAACAACCGTTTTATATAGGGCCATTTTAACCTGTCAAAAATCATTATAACTAATAATATAAAAGGAATAAAATAATAATAATGATAATTAAAATTCATGGTGAGATTTCAGATTTTCAATAAAATGTTACTACATTTATATATGTTGTTAAACAAAAACAGTATAATATGACATAGTCAATATTAAACCTATTACCAAACATGTTTTATTTGTAAATTGAGACCAATCATGGATGTTTATAAAGGTATAAAAATTTGTCATCTAGACGTAGCTGATCAGTTATGCGGTTTTCACTGGAATCATAGGAAAAATGTGAGACTGAGCATACCTTCTTCTGTAAGAAAATGTACTTTTTGTAATGATGATGTTAGTGACGAATTTCATTATCTGTTTACATGTCAAAAGTTTTTTTATGACTTAAAACAGTATTTCTATATAAATCGCACTTTTTATCAAAATATTGTTTACTTTTGAAAATATAACTTTACTAAATAAACTGTATATATTTATCGTTTATATCGAAATAATATCTAAAAACATGTACTGTAACACTGAAATGCCTGGATTGCTCGTTCACTTCTAACATGTATATTTGCTATTATTATGTTTATTTGTAATTTTACATGTCATGAGTTATCCATATACTTTTAATTGTATTTGGATATGTTCGTCATTCTCCATTCACTTTCACACTCGTAACATAATATGTCTTAATTATTCACTGTCATTATTATAATATGACGCTGATGCTGTTTACTTAATGTAAACCTAAGGTGGAAATAAAAAAAAGTTTGAAGTTTCAATTTCTTAATTGAGATAAACAATAAATTTGCGTAAGTTTAGCTGGATATATGGGCAAAGTCATAAATACATCCTTATTAAAAGTTATTTGAACTAATAAACGTTTTCATTACAGTGCAAAGTTTATTGTTACATCAACTATTTGTATTCCTCAATTAACAAAAACATTGTATGTTATTGACATCCGTAAAATTGATTTGAAGTCTAGTCGTTATTCAACCGTATTTAAATAGATACAATAAAACGCGTGTCATCGTGCGTGCTAATAATAAAATAAGGTATAAAGAAATTACTTTAAAATGACATTGCCTGATGCTAAATGAGATAATATTCAAACAAAATTTACGCTACTCAACTTTTAAAAGATTTTATGAAGCTGTTTCATTTTTTTTGTGTTTTAATAACTTATCCAAATCTGGTCGAAATTTCTTAAGTGCATTTTTTAAAAATACAGATATATATTGAAAATGCTTTTGTTTGTTTGTTTGTTTCATTTTACGCCTTTTCCCAACAGTATTTCAGTCATATAGGCGGGTAGTTTCCTAACCATCGTTCCTGGAGAGTTACACAAGTACTAGACTACCTTCCTCCGCGCTAAACTACCAAAGCATCTCCCGGGGATCGAACCCACGTCAGTGAGGTAATTGGATTAGAAGTCATCGACTCTAACCCATCGAGCACAGAGGCGTTATATTGAAAATGCAATTCTGGAAATTAAATAAATGTAAAACACATTTTCCAATTTATTTGTTCACGAACACTGTACTGTACGAATGAATGTGAGTATCTAAAAAATATTTCGGTAATATATGAACATACGTATATTAAAGCGAAATACTGATTAAATGGTATTATACAATAAAACGTTATGGACGGTATTTAAGAATTTATTATCTTAATAAAAATTATGTCAAGGGTGTTTGTAGATATTGTAATACAAATACAAAAACGAAAACTGCTACTGCTGTTGTACACAAATTTATCTCCCAGTTCAATATACAATCATAATTAAGTGTTTCTTTTTTGATGTTGTTTTTGTTGTTGTTTTAATTTATTTATCTTCACATATCTAGCAAGCACTTGAAATCGCTCATCGATTTATATTCATTTCAGTAAGATGTACATATGAAGGGACACTACTAAAAAGATTATTTTAGTTATCACATCTTCACATTCTTAAGCTAAATCCCCCTCCCCCGCAAAAATAACAACAAAAATATCTGTACAGAGTTGGTACCATGTGTCAAACACATGCGTAAACTTTCATGCATGTAAAAAAAAACAACAGTTCGTGCACTAAGTACATTAAAATACTTATCATACTTTTGTTGTAAATAACCTTCTCATTGTTAAAAGCTGGTGACAGTTGGTATTTCCAGAAGAATTTTTGCTTTAGTTTTGAAAATGTAAAACACTTGAATGTAAAGTCTATATACACTGTACCGATCTTTTAGCTTTGCTTAGGAAAGTTAAAGGGACTCCGCAGAGGTTTTTTGACATGATGGGAGTGAAAATATTTTTTCCAGATAAATATACCATTTGATGTAGGTTTAGACCACTAATCTTTGTGCCAAATTTCAGATCATTCGTGCACTACGTTTTTCCAAAATAATTATTCAAAATGTAAAAAATGACCCAAAATGAAAAGCATTTAAACGCTTTTCACTCAAATCGGGCTAAGAAAAGCATAAAAATACTAT